ACGTTTGTCAAGTAATCGATTAATCAATCTAGAAAACTAACCTCCAACATTTTGAATAATCAATTTAGCATTTAAGTAATCTATCACGCAAATATGTCAAAAACAATCCCTGGTTCCGGGTTCTTAGATATGAGGAGTTGCATCTATCTAAAAGATACTTTGGTTGTGTATTGTAGGTCAGACAAAGCAAGATGTCATTGAGAGCTCTGGGAAATGTTTTACTGTTTAATTGAAAAAAACAAATTGTTATTTGCAACTCTACTCCGAATTACTGATGTTTGTCTGGTTGGATCTTTTTCATTCTGCCTAAGTCTTTTTGAAATGTGAAATTTGTTGATTTGTTTTTGGTTGGGACTGTGTTCTCTTATAACCTTTGTGATGCTTCTCTATGTTTTGTCAGCTGGCAAGATTTGTTTCCGTGGTGAACATTTTAATTAATTTTGTTGTTATTGACATAGTTTGTGTTTTGTTTATGTGGAATTAGAAGTTTTTAAAAAAGCACAATAAACTAAATTGAAAACTGACACGCCGCTCTCTTTCTCAGAATAAAACAACTTCAGAACCACGGACAGCAACTGCTTCCTCCCAGAGTGACCCCAGCTGATCTCACTGGTTTCACACCTGCTGACTCAGCTCCTTTTATACAGGCCCGAGGGAATAATTGTCCCCACGAGTAGGGCACTGAAAAGGATTTCCTAACCGATAGAAAGCATCCTTCGGGTGTTATCTGCTGCTGGTTCTGGAGCGTCTGAGTGTGAATTCTTGGCAGCTTCGTGACGAGACACAGCATCCTCTCGCCGGCCTCTGGGCTGCCGTTGATGTGAAGCATCATCGAGCAGAGCCGGTTTGGCGAGCCGAGGCCCGATGGTGAAGCAGGGACGGACATTTTTGGTGTGACGACTGACTTCTGTGCGCGTTGAGCTCACACGTGTGACTGAGCTGATTGAGAGCTCGGGAGGATCGACGGGCACATCGAATAACGGACTGTGAAACTGAACATGGACTGTAAATTGACTCTGTCACCACTTCTCCTCGCAGACCCCCATCTTCTCTATTCGGGAGAAGTAGACTTTTTTTGTTTTCTGGTCTGGAAACAGCATTATGGCTGCAACTGCAAAAATGTTGAATCCAATTTTTTACATTTTAAAGCTGCATTAAAAAAAAGAAAAATCAAACAATTTATTAATCAAATGAGATCCAGTCATAATAATGATAATATTTATAATGACACACAAAGTGCCTTCCCACAGATGTGAACTTTTAAGCTCCAAAACACGCAGCTGGAATCTTCTAACTCTACGCCGACGATATGTGTAATCAATTCCCTAATTAACTACTTAAACGGTTTAACCAATCACCATCAGTGTCAATTAACAGTCAAAGCGGCCCCCCCCCTAGATTCCGCCGCCATGATTAGCCGGCTACATGATGGGCAATTACAGCGAGGGGGACACCGCGTTCAACGCAAACCCGTCACGATCATGCCGAGCTTTCAGATCTGCGGGCGAGAGAATGAAACAAGGAGAGCGAGATGGGAGGAGGAGGAGGAGGAGGGAGAAAGAGCAACAAAGAGGAGTGGAGATGAAAGGGTATTTCTTCAGGAGGAGGAGGAGGCCCACGGTGTTGGATTCGTTCAGATTTAACAAAGATGTGGGGAGCTTCAAGATTGTTTTCTCTCTCTCGGTTTTTTTTTTTATTCCCCTTAAAAAAGGAAAATCCACTGTCAAACAGGAGCCGCACATCAATGGCGAGTGACAGACTTTTAACTCCCAATCTGACTGATTTTTATGGGTCCTATTGAAGGTGTGCGTCGGCTTTTATGCCGGTAAGACCCATTGTAAAAATCGGAGGAAAAAAGAAATAGGTCCATTTGAAAATATCTCTCTCTCTCTCGCATCCCACAGTCGAGGTGTTCGCCTCCTTATGATCTTGGATGTTTGAGTCCGTTTTAACATTTATTAGACGTCGGCTCCATCAAAGCCGCTTTTCCAGAGATGCTGGTAAAAGACACCAGTTAAGAGCAGTAAACATCATGCTCCATTCCCAACCAAATGCATTTCAAAACGTGCATGTTTTCTTTGGCCCACACCATGGAGGAAGAGTTGAATGTATTGTGTTATTGGTATCTGGCTAGTTAACGGGTTCAGTATGCCTGAAATGAACCGATTCGTACGAGTCGACCACGTTTAAAAGGCCAACAGTGCACAGTGCTGATTACGATACGGCGATACCACACCGGCATTACGAGTCAACAGCAGAAATCCACCAAGTGTAGTGCTCGAAGTTCTCTTTGCAAGAAAAAACAAAACCCCTGCTTTAAGCCCTGCCGACTTTTACACCTTTTTATACCTTTTTATATAAATATGTTTTTCTGTTAATCATCTTGTGACCCCCTTGGAGGGTTCCTGACCCACTGTCCTAATAAACAACCATGGCATGAACATTATGTGCAGAATCTCAACAATTTGAAGTAGTTAGTAGTTTATAAGTATGTATATCGTCCAATCCTACATTAACAAAGGTGGCTTCAAGCTTTTGAGCAAACGACCATTTCCCGGGAAGTGGACTTTCCTCTGTAGCATCCTCAGCAGCCGAGGACATCTAAAGGAAATACTGAATACAAGCATGAGACCAGAGCCTGTCAAAGAGATTCACTCCGTGGTCTACAGGTGAAGCTCTGAATCAGGCCTCACCTCTCCACTACACAACCCGTCAGCTTATTGTTGTCTTTTTCAAAATCAGCTGTTCCTGGCACATTCCTCCGGTTTCTTTTCCGAGCTGTGTGTTAATTTCCCATCACAGAGGCGTGATGGAGCGGTGGCACACGGTGGCGGTGTGTCATGTGTCGACACCACCACCACCCCCCCCATCACCGAGCTTACTGTGGAACCCTGAGCAGCTCCACTCCAGCAGCGGGGGGTTAAGTACCGAGCTCGAGAGGCGGGGGGGCCTTTCCGTGTGTGGCTGCTGAGGGACAGCAGTGTGTGTCACATTTGTCCCTGCTGGAGCACGGGATTCACAAACAGCAACGCGGTTGCCAAGTCACCGCTCTCCCACTACAATACCCGGGGGGAGTGGAGAGGCTGGAGGTTACACACTGTTCCTCTCACTGGTCCTCCATACTATTAGAAAGCCCCGAAAATACAGGATTCATCCAGCACAGCGCGTCTAATAACGTTCTTAATATCAAGGGACTTCATATGCTCAGAACATACCCAGCAGAATATTTATCCGGCATGTAGAAATATGAATGAAACATGCTCTCATATTGTTTTTAATGCTAAATTGCTGGTTCTTTTTCCTCATTTTTATATTCATCCAGAAAGAATTTCCCTGACGTCCACTAACTTCAGGGGTTGGCTGTAGTAAATGGCTTTGGATAAAAGCTCTCTGTAGAACTGCAGCCTGAACTGGGAGCTGGCCAGTACGACCAGGGTCCGGCCTGAGGAGCTGGTCTACATGTTACTTTTCACAATGTCGGATTTCTAGACCGATCCACGTTGCAACGGATTCCAAATCACGCAGAGGAACACGGTTGTCTCCCACTCGTCCCAGCTTGGCGGCCCCCCCTCCAACCTAGTTTTAAAAGCCTCAAACAAGACTTCTCCCCACGTGAGTCTTTGTTCTAGTCCTCTGCTGCATATACAATCACTTCACCGAGGATTGTGGACGGAAGGCGTTACTGTACGTCATGGATCGGGACTGCAGCTTTACACATTATAGTGAGGTGAATTTAGACTTGTTCTTAGCAGAGGATGTTACATGTGTGGAAAAAAAACACCTGTCAGTGCTCTCTGGTGGACAAACTAAATAAAGGGGAGACTCTGGCCCGGGCCATTTATCAGCCTAGCTCAAAAACAAATGAATAAATTATGATTATTAAAGTGGATAATGAACATCACAAGTCCAAGGTGATGTCTTCAGATGTTTGTGGGTTTTTTTGTCCAGCTGAAACCCAAAGATATTCACTTTAACTCATTAGAGAGGCTGGAACCAGAGATTGTGAGGTGTTTTTCCATTTAAAAAAAAAAAAAGGAAAATTAATAAACCTAGATTATGAGAATAAAGTTGCTGATTCATTTCGGCAATCAACCAATCAATGTACCAACCAATGGTGTTAAGCTCAACCAGGAAGTATCTCTACTTCAGCCTGCAGGTCACTACAGACCTCTGTAGCTCAACGCTCACCTCACACTTCATAAACAATAACTGGGCTACGTTCAAGAGAAGAAGACATTTGTAGCATGTATACATTGAGTTGCTTAATTGTTCGACAAGACGCACAAACAAACACGCATGTAACATTAATGTTCCACTGACATCCCAGAAATCATCACGACCCAACTTGACTCCTCCATACTGCTGCACCCCCCCCCTAAAAACAAACAAACACACCCACCACCTACACCTGTGCTGCAGGTGGAGGCTAAACTCACCTGAACTCCGTTAACCAGACACATTTTCTCAGCAGCACTCGTTTTTTTGTTTTAAAGGACCAGAACGTAATAAACTCAGACAAACTGTCCAAAAACTTACGTTGTTACCTAACGTTCACTCACATCGTCTGACGTCTCTCTGCCGAAATGACCGCTGCTCACCGTGTCACCGCTCAGTCACGCTGACCCGGTGCGGGCTCGCATCACAATCAAACATTCCTCAATATGAGACGGTTAAAAACAAATAAAAGCCGGCGCGTGCTTGCATGCATGTGTGTACACGTGTGTGTGTGTGTGTGTGTGTGTGTGTGCGCAGGCTACGCGTGAGCCTCCCGTTTCAACGGCAGCTTTACGGTGACAAAGAAAGACGGTTTGCACGATTTCTCCGGGACTCACTTTGGCTACCTTTACATCTCAAAAAAAAAAAAAATGCAATTTAACCCTTTATTTCACCACAAAAGCGGAGATGCCATGTCCGTTCATCCCTCTTTTAAAAAAAACATTCCACATTAAACACGCACAATAATAATGATAATAATAATAAAGGAATAACACAGGACTTACCATGGCTGTTCGAGCTCCCAGTCTCTGAAAAAGTCGAATTCGAAGAGATCCATTGCCACTTCGGGCTGGTGGTTAAAATCCAAAGCTGGTGCTACGTGGTTCTACATGGGCTACTGGTGCTGACTGACTATGTGTGTGTGTCAGAGAGGAGGGAGAGAGCAGACACAAGCGGCTGCTGCCAGGAAGCTGCTACGTGGTCGAGGCGAGCTGACAGTCAGGCAGGCAGAGGTGGAGGGAGGGGGGGAGAGAGAGAGAGAGAGAGAGAGAGAGAGAGAGCGAGCACACACGCGCTGGAGAGGGCTGAAGAAGACAAGTCACACTGAGATATATTCACTGCAAACATTTTCCCTTCATAACAAGTAGAGCTATTTATACTGCACGGAGCTTACAAAAATAATAAAAAAATAAACCTTGTTGTTACCCCCCCCCCCTCCATAAATGTGACACTTCATTGCCAACAGCTGAGAAAGGATTTAAATGCTACAGATAACATGTAATTAAAGGCATCTTCATCCTGCAGGAAGCCACATGGTACAGTCAGTGACATGGCCTACACACACTTTGACATGTCATTTCACCATTAGTGATCACCTCTGATGAATTGTGCTGTTAGAACTCTCACAATCCATAAAAGGTGATTTTTTTTAAATTATTTTTTGCACCTATTCAGATTCTACACAAGTGCACTCGCTCACTGAGCTCCGGGGATTCTTCGTTCGGTCACAGGGTGGTGTAGGGCTCCACCCAGGGCCGTAACCAGGATTTTAGAAGGAATAAGGCCCGTCACCACCAAAGGACATTTAGCCACAGGTCCTCCACAAAGGTGTTTCCTTCCTGCCCTCTGATACGACACACAGGAGCGTTGCTTAAATCAGCGATCCTACTGCTGGCAGGACGGCAACACATCCTCGTACCTGAACGTAGCGGTCGCAGTTTTAGACTTGTGGTGAAAGTTGTGGGACGGTCTCAGTTTGATTAGGTTTAGGCAACAGAAGGACTTGGTTAAGTTTAGGAGACTATCATGGTAAGTAGGCTAAATAAATAAGTGTGTTTGTTACATAACTAAACCTACGTAGAGAAAGTTAACCTACATTAGGTATGGTACGTAAATTAACTAACGAGTTAATCTACGTTACGTTCGTAACGTAAATGAAGTATGGTAAGTATGTTAATTTACAAGTTAATCTACGTTACGTACGTAATGTGAATTAAGTATGGTACCTAAATTAATTTACAAGTTAGTCTACGTTACGGACATGATGTAAATATAGCAGTGGTGGGCCGTCTGCTGGCCTAGACAGAATCACAAAGTTTTAGCTATTTTATAATTTAATAATTTTTCATAAATACACATGTATCATAATTTTTTCCCACTCTCGGCAGTTAGTGTATCTACAGGTGTTGGCTTCATTTTTACACGAAACAAATAATAACCGTAGCTGTGTTTCAGCTGCAGGACAGCAGTGAAGGCCCAGGTATAAAATGCACGGCCCGCCACTGAAATATAGTATGGTACATGAATTTATATTGGGAGTTAATAAACGTTACGGACGTGATGTAAATTAAGTACGGTACGTAAATTAATTGACGAGTTAATCTACGTTACTTAAATGACGTAAATTGAGTATGGTGCGGAAGTTAATTCACGAGTTAATCTACATTATGTACGTCATGTAGGTTAATTAATGCACATAGGTCAAAATAACACACAGCAGTCTCCTGGGTTAAAGTCCTGTGTTTGTCTGACCCGTCCATCCATCCCGTCCTCCCTACGCGGACTTTGCCGATCTTTATCCTACGTCACCTGACTTCCTCCTTCGCGTCCCTTGCCAGTGTGCAGTAGTAGTGAGGTGGGTCAAAGTTGAGCCAGGAGCTCTGGGCTGTAAGCTGTGGTGCATGTTTACATTGGACGCTTACTCAGCAGTTTCTTGGGAACAGGTGAGTTATAACAACTGTAATAACTGGTTGCCAGCATAATAAATCCCTACAGACCAGTTTCCTTCAAGATAATTCATTTCTTTGCATATTTGTTATGATTTGTTAATTTTTGGATTTTTCTCAATGTATCTCGGATGTTTTCATTTGTAAGTGTATTGTTGTTAATGGGTTCAGCATGACATCAGCATGATGTCATTCATGTTTTTAAGCTATATACACACCTAGCTCTTGTCAAGGATCACCACTCACAACTTTTCCACTGTTGAGTGTGAACCGGTCCAGCTCCAGCCAGGCCTTCTGTTCAGTCCAATGAGGCTTCAGGGTCTTTAATCCACTGTGTGGTCACTCTGTGCTTACTCTGCTGGTGCTGCAGCGGGGCCTAAATATGGCATCTGGATGTCCCAAACAGCGACTCCTCTGTATCTTCCCAAACTTTTTGGCCTCCTGAACAGCACCGAGTTATACCAGCAATGACAGGACGTGTCGGAGTGTGCAGCGCGCTGATGGTTGCATTACATCATTATATCATTCCTTGGGTTGCACACAGTCATCTCTGTAGTTTGATGCGCCCTGTGCAGCCTCGGTGAAACGAGCTTACGCAGAGGAGCATCAAAGCAGGACGCTGGTACCGACAAATGTTCCCTGAAACATTTTTTGCAGTCCAGGTGGTCTTTGAACCCCCTCACCAACCAACCACCCCCCTCAAACTAACCCCCCCCCCCCCCCATTCTCCATCCGCCTTCACCTTTGTCAGAGATGGGCCGAGGCCGCGGCGTGTTAATAACAAGTTTATCAGCCCGCCATCCTCGCTCTCTGTCGTACTCTCGCTGCAACACATGCCCAGCGGCATGTTTCTTTTTTTTACTGCTTACGCCTCGCAATGAATAATGACCGACCAGATGGTTGAAACTTCTTGCTCAGCGTGTGCCGTAACGGCGGTGCCTCTGTGACATCACTGTCCCCTCCTTTTAAAAAAAAGGAAGGAAAAAAAAGCCCTCCCACGCAGAAGGGCGCGTGTTTTCACGCGTGATGCCAGAACACGAGAAGTCCAAATGTATCGGAAGTGATATTTTGAAGATATACTGCGGGCTGTGTGTGTGTGTGTGTGTGTGCGCGTGAGTATTTTGGTCTGCTCTGGGGCAACATGCCAGCACTGCTCTGCATCACGCTATGCAAGTACAAACAGCAGCCTCGTATGGAGAGGAAGAGCATTAGCCATGGAGCATGATGGGAATAAAAACAACTGCTCTGCCACAAGCTAAACAGTCTGAAAAGTGCTGTTTTTCACGACCTTGATCAATTCCAGCCATTTCAGACCACCGCAAATCAATATTCCAGACGTCTCCGGATCTTAAAAACACCACATCAAAATTCAAACAATTTTCAAGGATTTGAAGCACCTGCGGGAACACTGGTTGCACGTGCGCGTATGTGTGTGTGGGTGTGTGTGTGTGTAAGAAAGGCTGTCCAAAAGTAGGTCAGACACTGAGAGACAGAGAACGACTGGAGAGAGGGAGAGGAAGAAGCGGCGGAATTTTAAAAAGCAATTGTAGGGTGAGTTGACGGAGAATTAGATGACAACAAAAAGAGAGACATTAAGGTAATTAAAGGCAAATACACACAGAGAGCTACACGCCATCTCATCACACAGACTTCACTAAGACCAAAGCAGCTCTTTGTTTAGAGATTTTACTTTTTGTGTGTGTGTGTGTGTGTGTGTGTGTGTGTGTGTTTTGGTTGCTGTCTTTTGCAGTGTTGTTAAAGCCACAGCTGTGCCGGTAATGATGACAAGTCGAGTTAGAGTCTC